GGCAGCTTTAGCTTCTGTAAGTGCAGGGGGCCGAGAAATTCAAGGCTGGCAGGCAGTACACTGGTTGTTGACTCCAACAAAAGATGAATCCAAGATCTCCAGGCCAGGCGGTGGGCTGCTCACTCACGGAAGTCTATAGTCCGCACACCAGAGTTCCAATCCCTTGAAGAAATGTGTCTCTTCCCAGGATGTCTCTGTTTATCTTGGAAGCAGGCCACACCCCTAGGGAAACTCCCCTTGGGGAGACTGGCTACTCAGAACGTAGTCATCTGATCCCATCATGGGAACAATCACACAGAACTGGGGTCCAGCCAAGTTGACACACAGCTCCAACTATCACAGGGCTGTATTGCATCTATGAATCTACTTTAAAAAAAATACATCAATGCACCCAAGGCCACTTTTACTTTCCCTTGGGGGCACCTTTTACAGGTGAGCATTGGGAGTGATGGCTATCAATGAAAAAGTTTTGAATTTGTCTCCCTGGGAAGAAGAGTAGTGCACATGTTCTCCTTGAAGCTGAGAGTCACTGTGCCATAATACAAACTTATTTCTGAAATCAACTGACTTATAAGCAGTACTAGTCCTATGAGGTCCAGTGACTTAGCTTGATTTTACTTGTGCCCCCAAGGACCTACCCACTCAAAACCTTATTGCCGTACACTTCTTGCTCCACCCCAACTGCAGCCTCCTTTCATGAAGTCAGATTCTCCTATTTTGGCCTGAAGTTTTGGTGAGTTAGGCTAGGTTTTACAAAGTCTCTTCCAAGAAACACTAGTCCCTTTGTGTGTGTGTGTGTGTGTGTGTGTGTGTGTGTTTGGTGAAAGTTTACACAGCAAATTAGGTTCCCATTTGACTATTTCTACATAAATTGTTCAGGGACATCAGTTCCATTTTTCACAATGTGCCAATATTCTCTTTGATTGCATTCTGGTTATTCCATTCCCAATCTTCTAGTTTCTCTGCCCCTTGTCTCCTCATCTTTGGTTTAGAGTAATTGTTGACTTTTTAGTCTCATACAGATGATTTTTTAGTGGAGTACTATACTCAACAATGATATCCTTTATTCTGTGTGTCATCAGTTATTTAACTAAAAGGTGACCTTGGGATAGTTTTGGTTCAAGTTTTAAAGAGTATCCTAAGATGATAGTCTCAGAAAGTCCTCTAGTTTCACGTAGTTGAGTGAGTCTGGATTTTTTAAGAATTTGGATTCTGTTCAGTGTTTTTTTTTTTTCCCATTCTGTCAGGGTATGTCTATTATGGTCCTGACTAGAATCGTCATTAGGAGCTCTGGTAGCATAATGGCTAAAGCACCTGACTGCTAACCAGAAGGCTGGCGGTTCAAACCCACCAGCCACTCCTTGGAAGGAAGGTTGGGCAATCCTACTTCCGTAGTGATACTGCCTCGGAAACCCAAGGAGGGGTCGCTATGAGTCAGGGCCGACTCGACGGCACATAACAACAACAACAACAACAGAATTGTCATTAGTGGTAAAGGGACCATCTAGTTCTTCTGGTCTCAGGGTAGATAAGGCCGAGGCTCACATAGGCTATTAGCCCTGTAGACTAGTTTCTTCTGTGAACACTAGTCCCTTTTGATGCTGAAGTTAAAAGAACTCTGTGATCAAATAAGTTTGATAAATGTTTCATATTATAGCCTCTTCCCCTAAACATTTAATGCTTATAACTATGCTGAAATAAGGAAACCTGTTTAATTTTCTTAACCTAGAGTTTCCCAAATTAATCTGAGCATCAAATACTATTAATTTTCAACCCCTATTGGTCTCACATAGAACTTTAACTATTGTGGCATAGAATGATCTTTGGGACATGAAAGGTGAGAAAAGAGAAGGTGGAGTATTGCTTCCAGAATTTCATAAGTAAGACTCATGTATGCTTTGTGGGAGAGCTTTTGGATGTGTTCTCACTAAGATACATTAATTTAATTGGACTCTTGGAACCTGTGTTCATTAGAGAATGAGAACGGTCAACTGACTTTTGGGGAAGGATAAGAAGAGGGATGAGGTGAGTGGCAGAAAAACAACAATGATAATTCTTAGGTATTGGTGGAATAGAGAACTAATAATGGTATGGGGCATAAAGAATGTGATAGGCCAAAAATGACTTAATCCCTCCCAACGGTATCTACCTCAAATTTCTAGACCCTGTAGATATTACCTTATTGGGAAAAAAGATCTTTGCAGATGTTATTAAGCTAAGGATTTTGATATGAGATCATCCTGGATTATCTGGGGGTCCTAAATCCAATGACTGGACAGTGACTAAGGAAGATGGAAGAAGAGTTGATGCTTTTGAGTTGTGGTGTTGGTGAAGAATACTGGAAGTACCATGCACTGCCAGAAAGAACTAACAAATCTGTCTTGGAAGAAGTGCAGCTGGAATACTCCTTGGAAGCAAGAATGGCCAGACTTCATCTCACCTACTTTGGTCATTTTGTCAGAAGGGACCATTCCTTGGAGAAGGGTATCATGCTTAGTAAAGTGGAGGGTCAGCGAGAAAGGGGAAGACCCTCAACAAATAGACTGACATGGTAGTTGCAAGGATGGGCTCAGGGATAGTAAGAATTGTGGGGCTGGCACAGGACTGGGCAGTGTTTCATTCTGCTGTACATAGGGTTGCTATGAGTTGGGGCCAACTCGACAGCCCCTAACAACAACAAGAACAACAACAAGTCCTATGAGAAGTATCTTTATAGGAGACACACAGAGGAAGAGATGATGTGACAGAGTCAGAGATTGGATTGAGGTCACAAAACCACAAGTCAAAGAATGATGACAGCTGTCAGAATCTAGAAGGGGCAAGGAATGGATTCAGAAGGAGTACTGCCCTAGTAGCGTAGTGCCTAAGGCACTTGACTACTAACCAAAAGGCTGGCAGTTCAAGCCCACCAGCCACTCATCAGAAGGAAGGTTGGGCAATCTACTTCCATAGTGATACCACCTCAGAAACCCAAGGAGGGGTTGCTTTGAGTCAGGTCTAACTCGATGGCACATAACAACAACAACTGCCCTGTTGACATATTGATTTTGCACTTCTGGCCACCAGAACTGTGAAAGAATAAATTTCTCTTGTTTCAAGTTACCTAGTTGTGGTAATTTGTTATGACTGCCACAGGAAACTCTGAAGCAAAACCTCAGCCACCTTAGAATGCTGCCCGGAGTCAGCCTCAAGCAGCATTTACCTCAGCAAAGGCACAGTAGCAGTGTCAGGTCTGAGTGTGACAGGCATTGAGAAGGCCTTTATCGTGGATGGGGTTTGTGGCTTCCCTTGGGTTTCATCCTATCACTCGGCAGCACCCTGTAATGAGGAATATGAACTGTGTCTTTCTTCCTACAGGGCACAAGGGCAGAATGCTGCACCTGGCTTTGAGTCGAGACCACACCCAAATTTTTCCGCTGCAGCTGATGGGATAGCCTCTGTGTGGAAGTGCTGCTAGTCACCTAGCCCCTCTATGCTTCACTACCCTCCTTTCCAAGTGAGGTAATTGCATTAGCCTTGTCTTCTTCATGGGCTTGTTTTGAGTATTGAACAAGATGAAGAAGCTTTCTTGGTGTGAATGCCCGTTCTCCCGACCTTCTTTCTCAGGTTCCTGTGCTCTTCTCTCACTCATTGCATTTCCTAGAGATTTGTCTTCCACCTTCTTTTCTTTCTCACTATGCTCTTCTTTCTCTTTCTTCTCTTCCTCCTTATCTCTGTCTCTATCATAATTTTTAGAGATCTGTTTCACTGCTTTAGCCAAAATATCTGTAGCAAAGATTTTAAAATACTTTCTTCTCACCCAGACTTTTCTCCAAAGCTCCAAACTCACATTTCAGATCGTTTCTGGATATTTCCTTTGTAAAGTCATTCTCATTTTCAGCTCAGACTCAATACATTGAAACCACAACTAGTTCATTTAAGAAGTATTTCTTCTGCGAGGTGGAGTCCCTGGGTGGAGCTCGGGGTCAAGTACTTGCCTATTAATTGAAATGCTGGCATTTCAAGCCTACCCAGAAGTGCTTCAAAAGTAAAACCTGGCAACTGACTTTTGAAAAGTCACAGCCATTAAAAACCTGACGGACTATAGCTGTATGGTGCAACACACAGGTTGCTATGACTCAGAATCAACTTGGTGGCAACTGTTTTTATTTTTTTTGAAATCTTTTTTAGTCGGTGGGACCTTTTTATTTATTTAATTTTATTTTTCACTTTTATTGTGGTAAAAATATACACAGCAAGACATTTGCCAACATAACAACTTCCCCGTTTATAGCTCAGGGACAGTGATGACATTTTTCATGTTGTGCCACCATTACTGCTATCATTTTCCTAAATATTCCACCACCATTAGTATAAATGACCCCAAAACAAAAGCTTCCCTTTCCCCCCCTCACTCCTACCCCACTAATAAACTTTGGTTTCTAATGCAACGGATTTTTTTTTTTTTTTTGTGATTTGGGTGAAGGTTTACAGAGCAAATTTACCTTCCATAACACCAGTTCACATATGCTTTGTCTCATGACATTGACCACAGTTTACCACAATGCAACAGCTGCCCTCCCACTTTCTCTTCCCTGTGTCCATCCCTCCATACACTCCTGCCCCCTGAACTGTCTCCCTGTGCATAAGCAGCCTTCTTTCTCCCATGATTGTTCTCTCCAAGGAGTGTATCTACTTGAGGTAAATGTTCAACTCATATGCCTGTCTTTTGTTTGTCTGGAAACCACAGGTGTGGGTTCAATTAATTATAATTAATATAAGAATGTGGGTATATACTGCCAGTTTTTAAAATAAGTGGTTCCAATTTATATTCCATTAGCAATGTATGAGGAATCCATACAACTTATTTTTAAGTGGAGTTTAAAATTTGTAATAAGTGTTGCCAGTAGGGACTTGGAACTCACTGCTGTCGAGTCAGATCCAACTCATACCCACATCCTATGATCTAGCAATTCCCTTCTTGGGTATATACCAGAAAAAAAGGTTGTTTTTGTCCACCAAATGCATGTTTAAGAATATGCACAGCAGATTTATTCCTAAAAGTCAAGTCTGGAACTAACTCAAATATCCATCCACAATAAAATGGATAAGCATTTGTTGTACATTCATACAATGGAATATTACACAGCAGTGAAAAAAGAATAAACTATAGCAACATGCAGCAACATGAATTAATCTTTCAAACTTAATGTTGTATTAATGTTGAGTGAAAGAAGCCAGGAACAAAATAATATATACTGCATGATTTCCTTTCAATGAAGGTCAGCATGAGACAAAATTAATCCATATAGAGAGAAAGTTCAGAAAGTGGAGAGGTATTGACAGGGAGAGAGCACAAGGGAGCCTTTTAGGTATCAGAAACTGTTCTTATCTGGATCTGGATGGTGATTACACAGTTATCTATTCATAATTAAAAATTCATCAAAATATACATTTAAGACATATGTTATTTTTTACATATGAATTATTACTTAAAAAAAATCTATTACGAAATGTAAAAGTCAATTGTAAAAAAGATTTCTGTTCTTTGTATTATCTGGAAGTTCACTTGTATCTTTTCTAAAACTATATCTCACACTTTGGATCAAAACCAAAAGGAGGTAAAAGATAAATATTGCTCTTTTTTAATGAGAGCCCCTTTTTCACACACCAGTATTAACTGAGAAAAGTGGTCTTTAGTCATAACATGGTGTCATGAAACTGTTAAGACACAACTGCCCAGAACAGAATGGTGAGGAACAGTAGAAATGGCTTCATTATTTTGCTTCCCTGCCAAACATCTTCTCAGAGTTTACACCTGGCTAATTAAGAAGATCACATTTAACGCATTCACTTACAAAAGAGTTTACATTATAGGAATACATTATATTTGCAGCTTTTGGTGGTCTAAAATTTCTAAGACAAGAATTACTAGAACTACCAAGCAGATTTTCTAAGTTAAAAAAAAAAAAAAAACGGAAAAGGAAAGGAAATTAATATACTGCCAAATTAACAGTAATTTTTGCCTTGTATATTATATACCACTTTTCAATTAGCAAGGTTTTTGTTGTATGGTTTTTCTTTTGTTTTGTTTTTTGCAGCGTATAAAAAAACCTCACTGCTGTCAAGTCAACTTATCATGACCCCTCCTTGGGTTTTCGAGGTGGTATCTCTACAGAAGTAGGTTGCCCAATCTTCATTCCAAGGAGTGGCTAGTGGATTTGAACCACCATCCTTCTTGTTAGCAGTCAAATGCTTTAGGCACTATGCCACCAGAGCTGCAATGTCTTGCAGCATGTAGGAGTAGGTATATATTGGTAAAAGATATTGTTTTATGACAAAGCAAGTAAATCAATCAGTATTTGCTATCTAGCATATGCAAAACATCCTAAAGGGCACCTAAAATATACTATTTGCTCTCTCAACTCCATGAGATTACAATGTAATTGTAATGTAATTGTTCAAGAAATAAATAAATAAAATAATCAAAGATTCACATAGTAATAAAAGAATTCAAAAACAATTGTAATAGTATTTAAATATCAAATAGGTGATACAGAAGAATCCAAGTCCATGTAGCATAATTTTAAAACACTCCTGAAGAGGTTAGGGATTTTTCAGATGTGCAAGGAACATGGGGAGAGGAACAGGAATTCAAGACTAAAGAAAAGCCCCAACACTAAAGCAGAAAAGCACAAAATGCAGATAAGGGTTTTTGTAGGAGATGAGTTGGAACTAACCTTAAGACAGAACAGTGAGAACAACAAGTCTGAGGAAATCTTAGAGAGACCAAATTCAAGGTCTTATTCTTGTAGAGGTTGGGATGCACTCACGCCACACAGTTTACAACAGAGCAGAACAAGAACGTAAGTTCTCTAACTTCAGATCCTGGGTTCAGGACATGAGGTGGAGGCCAAGGGGTTTAAGTAATAGGGAGTCCTTGGGAGTAATGAGCAAAAGACTGATAGGATCAGCACAGTGAGAGCACAAGTTGAGCTGGGCAATGGTGTGGAAACAAAGAAGACTAGAGCTAGGAGAACCAGTCAGAAGGTAATTACAACCGACCAGTCATCAGCTATTCAAAAATGACCAGGGTGTGGCACAAGGAATGAGAGCAAGGGGTGAACCAAGGACACATGGGAACAGAATAATCCAAAGGCTCCCAGGTGACTTGATGGTCAGGATAAGTACTAGGGTCATTAAGAGTCAAAGGGAGACTTACAAAAGAGTTGACTTTGAGAGGAATATTATGTTAATTATAATTAATATAAGGATGTGGGTATATACTGCCAGTTTTTAAAATAAGTGGTCCCAATTTATATCCCATTAGCAATGTATGAGGAATCCATACAACTGATTTTTAAGTGCAGTTTAAAATTTGTAGTAAGTGTTGCCAGTAGGGACTTGGAACTCACTGCTGTTGGGTCAGATCCAACTCATAGTGATGCCTCCTTGGGTTTCTGAGGCGGTATTACTACAGACCTAGATTGCCCAATCTTCCTTCTGAGGAGTGGCTGGTGGGTTTGAACTGCCAGCCTTCTGGTTAGCAGTCAAAAGCCTTTGGCACTGCACCACCAGAGCTTCCTAGTAGGGACTATAGCATCCTTTTATTCAAGTTAAAATCCTAACTTGGAGTTAAGGTTTATAGCAGATATCTAAAAAAGTACATCCTAGTTACTCTCTTATTAGCCTCTCTTTTTTTTTTCCACATCTTGTTTTTTCTTAGCTGTATAGTATTCCATCATATAGGTGTATCATAATTTACTGTGATAGACATGTTGATTTTATTATTATTATTATATACACATTTATATTGTTATTTGGGTGAAAGTTTACAGAGCAAATTCACTTTCCATACAGCAGTTCACACACATATTGTCTCATGACATTGACTACAATTTACCCCAATGCAACAGCTTCCCTCACATTTCCTCCTGATAGTTACCTCTTTCTTGTGTCTATCCCTTCATGCACTCCTGCCCCCTGGACTGTCTCACTGTGTATAAACAGCCCTTCTTTCTCCCATGATTGTTTTCTCTAAGGAGTGTATCTACCTCAGGTACATGTTCAATTCATATGCCTGTCTTTTGTTTGGCTGGAAGCCACAGATGTGGGTTCAATTCCAGACCTGAAGGGCAGCTAGGGACCATAGTCTCAGTGGTTCCATCAGGCTCTATCAGACCAGCAAACCTGGTCCCCTCCCCCTTTTTGTTTTCCAAATGATTTTGAGTTTTGTTCCACATTGTTCTCCCTCTCTATCCAGGAACTCCTCCATAGACCCCCCTCTGAGTGGTTGACAGTGGTAGCCGGACACCATGTAGTTCTTCTGGTCTCATAGTTGTATAGGCTGAGGATCTCATGGTGTACCAGTCATGAGGACTAATTGTTTCCATGAATCTTTGGTTTTCTTCATTCTTCTCTGTTCTAGATGAGGAGAGACCCATTGTTGCATCTAGATGGCTGCTTGTAAGCTTTTAAGATCCCAGTCGCTACTCACCAAAGTAGGAGGTGGAACAATGTTTTGTGTAGTATGTTATACCAATTGAGCTTGATGTCCCCTGCGACTATGGTCCTGAGCCCACAGGTTCAACTATTCGGTCCCTCTGGGTAGCTGTCTGTGACCAAGAAGTGACTACAACCTTGCCCCTTGTCAACTCCACTATACCCCTGGGAATTCTTACAGAACACACAAATACACTTGTAGAACCATTGCCTGCCAACCCTATATGTCGTCTTGGGTACTTTCCTAATTAGCCTCTCTTTTAGATATGAGCACCAGACCTCATTTTCTAGTGCAGGGGTTCTCATCTCCAAATTCCCACTAGAATTGTTAAGGAGCTTATTAAAGAATGCTGCTGCCTGGTTCTATTGAATACCAATTAAATCAGAATCTCTAGACGTGGAGCCAAAGTTCTGGTAATTTTAAAGAGCCTGGTGAATCTAATCAGATCTCTGGTGACGTAGAGGTTAAAGCTGCTAACCAACAGCTTGGTGGTTCAAATCCAGTGTCTGCTCCAGGGAAGAAAGATGAGGTCTGGTTCTGTAAAGATTTTCAGCCTTGGAAACTCAATAGGTGTTGCGATGAGTCAGAATTGACTGTATAGCAAGGAGTTTGTTTTTTTTGTTTGTTTACTGAGTCTAGTAGGCAGCCATAGTTGAAAACCAACATGCTAGTATTTTGCTGAGTCTTTCTTTAAGCCATGCTTCTTCCTTTGTTAAATGGAGCTGTCTTTTTCTCACAGCTCTCCATTTGGGAGAATGTATTTATTTGTATTCCTAAATTTATATATAAATATTGTAGTGCCTAAGGCACTTGACTGCTAACCAGAAGGCTGGCGGTTCAAACCTACCAGCCACTCCTCAGAAAGAATATTGTGCAATCTACTTCTATAGTGATACTGCCTTGGAAACCCAGGGAGGGGTTGCTATGAGTTGGATCTGACTTGACAGCAGTGAGTTTGATTTAGTATTGGTTATTGAATCTTGTGGCTTAGTGCCTAAGACATTTGACTGCTAATCAAAAGGCTGGTGGTTCAAACTCACCAGGCACTCCTAGGAAGGAAGGTTGAGCAATGTACTTTCATAGTGATATAGCCCCAGAAACACAAGGAGGGGTCGCTATGTGTTGGGTCCGACTCCACAGCACATAACAACAACAATGGAAATTGAAGGAATCAATTCAAATAGTGTCATCTTCAAGTACCTACAGGACTGATTAATTTCAATATTAATTGACCTACTTAAATATGCTGAATAGTTCCATGAGGATTTCTCCAAAGAAAACTTTCTGGTCACAATTCAGCACCTACTCCTCACTATGGGGTGGCAGTCACTGTAACCACATGTTGATTGGACCTACACAGGTTTAGGGATTTGGAGAACTAGGAAATCACCTAGTAAACCAAGGCTTAAGTTCAAGCTAGCAATACAGGCAGCTGACTTTCTGGTGTATGATTTTCTTGGCTGGCCAGCTGCCAGAATTTTATTTTCTAACCTAAACTGCTTTGAGAAATACTGTAAAACACGTCTATTCCTATTTTCACTTTTCCCAGAGACTCAGGTTCTTGCGTATATATATATATGAATAAAAGGTGTTGACATGAAACCATGGACTTTGAAGGGCAGACTTACTGTCTTTTAACCCAAACATTCCAGATGGGCTGTTTCTGTTTCCTGTTGAATCAGAGCCCTTCAGTGTACATGTTGCTGGACAGGCCTGATATTAGTGTCACTTCTGCTGGATCCTACTGAGAAAGTAAAATGAATAGTTTGGGTATAATTCCCATGTTAGTTGACACATGGATGACACTGGTGACATTGGTCCCTTAGCTAATCTCTTCTTTGCACTATTCATGAGCTTGCTATATTATTCTGCTTCACTTTGCCAACAGAGATTTGCTCACTAAAGTTATAAGAGAGAAACAGGTACAGTCATACAAATTGATTTTATTTATGATAAAATTAAGAAATGACAGTAAATGAGATACAGATATCTAAATTGTCCCCTTGATGGTCTTACTTATCCATGCGAGATATTTCCCTGAGAGAAGAATATAGATGCCAGGTCCTTGAGGGTCTCCACATTTCCCTGGAAGGCCAAAGGCAGTGGTGCCTCTGAAAATACCTTCACATATCAAAGGGCTTCCAGAATCTCCCTGGAGGAAAACAAGAAGGGTGGTGGAGATTAGTGTTGACCATGATCATTTGTGAAATGGAAGTAGTTCTGTATCATTTAATATGGAGTTAAGACCAATCTTGACTTAAGTGAAAATGAGTGTTCGAAAAACCCACAATCTTTGGAAATATTTTATTATTTTTAATTGACTCACTTGGTTTAATTATGAACCAGTAAAAATAAAACTTGTATTATAGTTTATGCTATCAGCTAATTTTGAGACTAATCACTTCATCTGATTCACTCCTTTTTGAAAGAAATCACTTCTGTTGACTGGTCATTTTCTGAAAATGCTTAGTAACTCAAGGGGTCAAATAGCCAAATGCAGGTGGGACATTGAGGCCATGAGTGAAAACTATGAAACCGTTTTCTGGTTCCTGCAGCAGATAGTCATCTTCCCTTCTTCCAAAGGAAGAAATCAAAGCAACCATTTCCTCCCCTTCACCCATCTTAAGTAGACAGGAATTGCTCCCCTAGTTCTCCTCTGAGCATCTGATATAAGATGGAAGCGCTAAGAATACAGGGATTATACTTAGGCTCTCACTGACTGGCCAGGAATGAGGCTTAGGTTAGCTGTAAGTTGCTGCTTTATTCTTCCTTACTGGGCCATCCAAAAAGAGCCATGGTGGTGTGGCTAAGGCATTCGGTCACTAAGCAAAAGGATGGTATTTCAAACCCAGTAGCAACTCTGAAGGCGAAAGATGAGGCATCTTCCTCCATAAGAATTACAGCCTTGGAAAACCTATGGGGGCAGTTCTACCCTGCCCTATAGGATCTCTATGAGTTAGAATCAACTTGATGGCTGTGGGTTTGGTTTCTAAGGAAGACCCCACGTCGTTATGTTGTTCCTTACTTCATCCATTCATAAGGCCAACTTTTGCAGGTAAGAGGTGGATCTTTGGTGACTTCCCACTGGTAGAGTGGAATTGGTCCATCAGAGTCTTGCATTTTTAGAGCTCTATATACATGTCTTTCAGGCCCCTTCTATCTAACACTTGACTGTCTTCCCTAAAGCCAGAGGGAAGATGGCAGACCTCAAATACAGTTAAATATGCTAATTATAGATTTCTAGGAGAGAATACAGGGTCATACCTTAGATGGCCCAAACCAAACCCAACCCACTGCCATCGACTCAATTCTGACTGATAGCATCTCTACAGGACACAGTAGAACTGCCCCGTAAGGTTTCCAAGGCTGTAAATCTACATGGATGCAGACTGCCTCATCTTTCTCCCATGGAGTTGCTGGTTTGTTCAAACTTCCAGGCTTTTGTTTAGTAGCCCAATGCTTTAACCACTATGCCACTAGATTCTTGGGGCCCTCCCTGGACAAACATATTTCCCTTGCTTGTTATAGTGCCTGGAATTCTCAGTAGTTCTTTAGATTTAATTAATCAACAGCCAATTTCAAGGAGTCTTGGTCATTGAGAGATTGGGAAACAGACTGGTAAACTTTGATGGTAGAGGACTGGCTGGTGGGAGTGGGACTAGCTTCGTGGATGCTGTTGTGTCCTTAGGATCTTGCATGTAGTTCTAAGAGGATGAGCTTCTGGGTTCCTGGATGCCCAGAGTGGTGGAGAAGGATAAGGGATGGCAGAGGGAGGACAAAGAAGAGAAAGTGGAAGACTGCTGAAGCCAAACTTCCTCTTGGGGTTTGTTAAGCCTTGGTCTTCAAGGACCTCTACTCTGATAACTTCCAAGCCATGCACACTGTACTTCAGGTGAGTCTCTGTAGGGTCTCCTTGGGAGAGGTGAAAAATGAGCTTAAAACACTGTAAAGTTTTTATTTTCCTACTCCTGTCTTTAAGCAGGTCCCTGTCCACCCCAGCTCAAAGAACTTGTATGGAGGCTTCCACTTTCTATGGAGTTGGTTACACCTGAAGTTGTTTGCTGAGGATTAAGCTTGGTCCTGGGAACCTATGGGGTCCAGGTCCAGCTTCTCAGCCAGGCTGGGGAATGACAAGCATTTCAGACTTCAGCAGGAGAGAAATTTGATGGGAGATCAGGGATTGGGGTGGAGACAAGGCTCTACAGGCACCTGACTTCAGCTCTCCTGAGTGTTACATATTTTCAAGTTTAGATCTATATATTGTTGTTGTTGTTGTTGTTATGTGCCGTCGAGTCGGCCCCGACTCATAGCGACCCCTCCTTGGGTTTCCGAGGCAGTATCACTACGGAAGTAGGATTGCCCAACCTTCCTTCCGAGGAGTGGCTGGTGTGTTTGAACCGCCAGCCTTCTGGTTAGCAGTCAAGTGCTTTAGCCACTATGCTACCAGAGCTCCTAGATCTATATATGTTAATATGAAAAATGAGAAAAAGAGAAACACCGCTACTCAATGGTTTCCAGTATAAAATCTAGAAGATGTAGTGGGTTGACTCACACATTAGCAGTGAATTTCCTATTTTTGATGAACTCACTTGAGCTGAGGACATTAATTTATTTGACTGAGGTTATATCAATAACTTCCAAAAAGCACTTGGGTCCTGTATAAGCCAATATTGCGACAAGACAAAACATTATATTGTGTATATCTGCATGACTCAATCTGACAGCTAAAATATTGAGTCTTATTTTACTTACATTACATGTATCTTTTCCACCTTGGGGGCTCCCAGCACAAATCATATTCACTCCAATCACAGGATTATAATTATAGTGCTTCTCATCATTGCAGATTTTTCTGTCTATGACAGTGACATTGACTTCTCTCAGAGTATCTGAGGATTTAGTTGACTTATTATGAAACTTCCCCCACCCTGCAACTCGACAGACTGTTCCTGGCTTCACATCCTCCCCCTTTTTAGGTAGTTGAAGAAGAGTGACGTTTTTATTAAGTGATGCTTTTTTGTTCAGCTGTTGGGAGAAAAACAAAGAATTAAGAGAATGAGATAATTAAAATACCCACATTTCTATTTACATTCTAGTTCAACCCTCAGGGACCCCCTTTCTGAGTCTGTGGCTATATGGGCATCAAGGAAAAGTTTCCACTTAAGTGACCTGATTGTAGGAGATCCTATGGTTTTTATGAAGACAATCAAAGTTACATACCTTTAGCAGTTTAAGATCACCTTCATGCGTGTTAGGGTCATAGCATGGATAGGGAATCTCTTTCTTAACAGACATTACTTGTTTTTCTCGCTCATGCTTGGATATTGTGTGAGCTCCAAGGATAACCTGGGCTCTTTTGCCCCTGAAACAGACACAACACCATTTAACTGGTTACTTTTTTAACCAGAAGGTGGACATAATATATGTTGATCAATTGTCCCATTTGTAAGTATGCTTGTTGTGATGATACTTCTTCCTACCTCAGAAAGAAAAACAACAAAAAATATGTATACTTTCAAGAATGAAAAGAAAGGTGTTTATGAATTTTATCATCATTATCACCAGCTTATTTATAACAAACTAAACTAAGTTCATTGAAAAACAATTTAATTCTATTGCAGTTAAGCTTAGTCTTGGGATCTCTTTTGAGGATTTGGGCTCTCTCCCTTTGGCTGTGATAGAGAATTATTCTGCAGATTACCTACTGGTAAACAAAGTTCTTGATGGTCTGGAGACAGAATAAAAAGATACATGGGCAAGTATGATAGCTGTAGAGCAATGGACTGAAGTGATTTTTGTAAGAGAACAAACTTACCTTAAATAGGAAAACTTTCAGAGCTAGATTGCCCAGTGGAGAACCCTATTTGCATGGCATTGAGTGCATGTATGTTAGGGGAATGGTGTCTCAGAAGTAGGGACCCAGGAGTCTTCCCTTCTCTTGTTTCATGCTAAAGTTAATTTTGCTTAACAAAATCAAAATCTACTCTGAAAGAGTTAAAGCTCTCATCTTTCATGTCCTGATATAAAATGCACTAACCAGCTGTTCACAGTATATTTCCCCAGAGCATCAGACGAGTTCAGTCTCACCTAAGACGTTAGAACAGAGCTTTCCAGTAGAGTATACTTTGATGATGAAATGTTCTATAGATCTGCACTGTCCAATATGGCAGCCACCACATGTAGCTACTAAACACTTGCCCTGGGATTAGGGTGAGTGGGAAGCTAAATTTGTAGTTTTATTCAACTTTAATTAATTCACATTTATATAGTGAATTATATATAATTCACATTTACATGTGGCTATTGGCTATCATATTGGGTAGCCTGGGATGGAGGTTTGAGTCTAATCCTGGGCCATCCAGTATGGGAGGAGAAAATGCCACTCCTGGAGGTGAGCTGAAGGGAGTGATTGACAGGCTTTAAGAGATGGCTGAAGGAGAGAGAGGAGTTTCCTAAAGGAGAGAGAAAAGCATTCCAAATAAGCAACTTGAGTCCTGAGGGGCACTGAAAGTATTTGCTTTCCATGCTGTGGTAAATTCTATGGGTCTTGCAGTCATGACCAGAAGCAAAGCCTCATAGCTTTACAGAGGTTCTCGCTGAGACCTACAGAAAGAGCTGGCATGTTACTTCTTCACTGGTCTGACTGTGTCTGGGCCTACCTCCCAGTCAAGTTAAGGAATGAGGTTCCTGTATGGTGCAAACAGTTTGTGTTCACTTACTGACCTAAAGGTTGATAGTTCAAATCCACTCAGTGGCACCATGGAAGAAAGACTTGGTAATCTCCTTCTGTGAAGATTTAGTCAAGAAAACCTATGGAGCAGTTGTACTCTAAACACTTTGGGTCACTATGAGTTGGAATCAACTTGATGGCAATGGCTTTTTGGTTTGGATGGGGGGTAGGGAAGGTCTCCAGAATTTAAGGCATGTGAAAATAGATGCGAGATGGTTTTAGTAGGATAAATATCTCACCAAATATTAGAATCTTCACAAATATTTTTTAAAATCACAGCACTTACAGGGGACAGTGAGCTGCAGTCAACACCCAGTTTTTTGCAATCAAAGCCCCAGCACAGATTTTTTGTCCTTTAAGTAGGACCATGTAGGGTCTTGAATGAGGATCCACTTGATTTCCTCCAATGATTTCTGCACAGAAATCTGTTAAATAGAAAAAAAGCAACTTAGGTCAGTACTCATTCAAAGAGCTCTACATAAAGCCATGTTTCTAAGGCCACCTTCACTTTTCACAGATGGAGAGGAAGTATGGGTGAGAACATCTTGTTTTTTTTTTTTTTTTTCTCTTGCTTTTACTCCATGTAGACCTTAGACACCTGGATGGAAGTCCTGTTACTGTTGGACTTTCTGAGAGGGTCCTCTTCTTTCACCCACAGCCACAGAAGCCATGTTGTGGCCATCCCAGAGATTATTACACTGGAAATCTGTCACAAATCACCAACCTCAGGCCTCAGATCTGGCAAAAGACAGAGAGCTGTGTCTTGGTCTACACCAGTAACAGTTGTTATGGGAGATACTGGCAGTAATGGAAAGCCTGAGCACCCCCAAACCCTGTCTTCTCTCTGAGTATTAATTTGGGGAACACAGTGCTTTTAGAAGCCTGAGAACTTCCCTTTACACCCCAAGCCCTTGCAAAAAAGATCTTACAAACTGACATTAGCACCTTTTAGTTGTGACTTGACCTATGAGTTCTTTAGTCATTGTGAGACTTCTGGTTACAGAACTTTGCGCTGTCCTCATTCATAAATAAAGAGAAAAACATCAGTTGCTCCTGAGGCTACCCCTTAATCTCTACTGAACTTCATAGTTTAATTAAGGTATTTTCCAGTAAAGTAGAGGAAGGGAGAAGATGCTATAGAGAATTCTGTCTCAGAAAAATTTCCTTGCTGATAAATTAAAAGTATAGACCCATTGTTAGAGAACAATAAGACCCAAACACAAGGCAAACTGAACACCTGCTGGTTGAGAGGACCTTGTGCCTTTGTGATATGTTCTCAGCTCTTCACCTTCCTAGACAAGATATGTTTCTGAGTTCTCCTAAATGTCTCTAACTGTTGGCTGAGGCTCATAGTTCCTTGAATAAGGCACAGTACTTGCTATCCATAATTGAAGCTACCTCACTACCAAATTCCCAGTAAGAAAGACAGTTGTTCTGTGTTACCTAGTGCCGCTCTGACAGGAATATACCACAAATGGAATGGCCTTAACAAACAAGAGTTTATTCTCTTATGATTTGGAGGCTTTAAATCCAAGTTCAAAGTGCCAGGCTCTAGGGGCTGGGTGAAAGCCCCTCAACCTTGGGCTTCAGTTCTATCTCCTGCTCCTGGTCCACTGGAGCTAGAGGCTTTTCTTCACTCAAACAGCTGCTGGCTGCTCAGGCTGATAAGCCCAAGGCTGAGAAATAAAAAGGCACAGTCCCGATGTTACCAAACCACATGGCAGACCATTAATTCAAGTCCATTGTAAGTCCCAAGTTCGGCAGGGCATGACAGGCTGCTGAACAATGGCATAGCTACATGCAGGGTCCAAGTGTGCCATAGGCTAGAGACCATTCCCAAAGCTGTTTCTTACATATGGGAAGTGGACCACATACCCAAAGGCAGCTACTCAACTACTCCCTGTAGATTCCACCATGGAGCTGATTACCAGTCTCATCATGGGAAATACTATATCCAGCTGCCCAACCACTCAACCAGGCCCAGTCAAGTTGACACACAAACATAACCATCACAACAATATACACATAGAAGCATTTCATAAGTTTTGATGAGGGTGAAGGCAAGGAGGAAAGGAGTGCCCACGTATGCTTTCATTTCCAGAAGGGAGTGGGAAGGCAAAATTCTAGGTTCTAGAAATAAAAGGGTAAACCAACCAACAGAACACCACTCACATCTCCATTCTTCCTGAGGTGAATCACGTATAGACCCAAAGATATAGCTTTGGACCTCTGCAGAAACCATAAACGCAACATTCCATAGAATATTGAGTCCCATGTTTTGAAGCACTCCATGTTTGGTGAGTACATATACCAGCTTCAGAAATAAACCCAGCTTTCCTGCAACTAGCCACTCCTAGAATTGTCTGGGGCAGGGTTTAGAGCAGGTGGGAAGCTTTGAAAAAACTATCAAGTCCTGGTCCCCATCATTTGAATCATTCTGGTTCATTTTTGGTGCCGAGGTCATGTCTGTCTTAATTGTCTTTAAAATACATGTGCATTTTCTGCTACACAAAAGGCTTAACTGACTAATGCACCAATCTTCCTTTCCTAAAGATACTATTAGTTTTCCCAACTCAAAGACCTTTTTTGTTTGTTTCCTTGTTTTTCCTTCATCTTTTTTTTTTTTTTGGGGTGTGTGTGTGAATTTTCAGGCTACAAATTGGTAATAAACTCATGTGGTTCTAAGACCATTTGTAAAGAAATTGTAATAAGGAAGAAAGGAGGATGTTTTTCCTTCTAAAATAAAGATAAATATTTGGAAGCCAAGAAAGAATCCTAAACATTTGAAGTCTTGTTGAAAAAAAATCTTCTCTTACTAGACTTAACCAAATGTTCATTGAACTTTTGCTCCACTTGACTTGATGGTTATAATGAAAGTGACAAGAATCAGTCTTACCTTCAGGAATTAGCAGAAGAAAAATGACGAGTGAGAGAAAGGATGCCAGAAATGTGCAGGAATTTCTCATTGTGGCTGGTGTCCCCACATCAATCAATGTAAAAATCTCTTTTCTGTTCTTTACTGCTGCTAACCTATATATTGAGAGTACAGAGGATGTGGTTTCCTTTCTTTCTTTGCAATTTCAAAGTTTAGCTAGCATTAGGAAATGAAACACAAGTTAGGTGAGAATAGTGAGTAATTACGAATTACCAGCAGGCATGCTTGTCCCTGCCAGGAGGCAGAGGTGGAGTCTTGTAAATCATACAGGCTGGTGGGGCAAAGGGACTCTGTTGCCATCAGAATATAGTGCAGGCAGCCCCTGGGTTACAAATGAGATCTTTTATTAAGTGTATCTTTAAGTTGAATTTGTAGGTAAGTCGGAACAGGTGCAAAGTGTTCTTATTCAGCCTTACTTGAGTGCAAGATAAGACTTGAAGTTTTTTCAGTGATTTAAAATGATTTCCTTCCTTCCTTTCTTCATCAACTGAGAAAGAAAAATAGGAATCAAATGTAGCTATTTTATTGTAGTATTCGGGAATATCTCACTCTGAGAAATATCAATTCTAGTTGCTGAAGGAACAGTATAAAGTTTGCCTTCTAAAATATCTTGAGCTCTTTTTTTGAGCTAAGGATGTGGTATTTATTATAATACATATGATCATATGTTCTGTCAGGGTATCTGGTGTTGAATCAACCATAGTTAGCACCCTGATAACTTCAGACTGGGGGGGTGGTGGTTACTTTTTTTTAGAAATCACATGAACTTAGGAGAGAGCCCTATTGTTTCCTTTTCCTAGATAGTACTATTGCATCAAAGGTTAATAATTTTCAGTAATGGCAGATGGGATATCATGCTTCTGGTTTTGGTTTGGTGGGTTATAGCTGTGGAAAAGATGTTAACAGAAACATTGACAATTCTGTTTCTTTTATGTGAAATGGTTGCTATTCCTCCATTTATGTTGACTCTTACTGAGATATAATTGACATACCATAAATTCAACCCATTTAAAGTATACAATTCAGTAGTGTCAGAGTTATGCAACCATTTCCATGTTTTAATTGTAGAACATTTTCATCATCACAAAAAGAAGCCTGTACCCATTATCAGTCACTTCCCATTATCCTCCCTCTCATGCCACCCTCCTCACCACTTCCAGGTCTAGGCAATCACTAATCACTAATCTAGTTTCTGTTTCTATAGATTTTCCTATTCTGGACATTTCATATAACTGGAATTATACAGTACGTATTTTGTGACTGGCTCTCTTCATTAGCATAATGTGATTAATCCGTATTATGCTATGTATTGGTTACTTCATTTTTATTGACAATAATATATCACATTATATAGATATACCAGGTTTTATGCATCTTTTCCTCAATTGACAGACATTTTTGTTGTTTCTCCTTTTTGGCTATCATGTATAGTGCTGCTATGAACATTCTTGTATAAGTTTTTGTGTGGATGTGTTTTCCTTTCTCTTGGGTATGCACCTAGGAGGGAATTTTTGGATCATATGGTACTGTGTGTTTAACAATTTGAGGAATTGCCACAATTCTATTTTCCACAATGGCTATAACATTTACGCTTGTGTCAGGAATATATGACCATTCTGATTTCTCCACATTCTCACCAACACTTATTATTGCCTGCTTTTGATTATAGCCATCCCAGTGAGAGTGAAGGAGGAGGGTGGACAACTCTTGGCCTCAAATTCTGAGGACAACTCATTTTAGACTCTTTTGTTACTGTTCCCAGTTTATGCATGTGAAAATGCAAGCACAGAGTAATTCCTTGTGCAAAGTCTTAGAACGATTTAGTGTTGAGACACTAAATAGTATTTTGACTTGTAGGCCAGTGCTGTTTCCACCAGGCTGTTGTGATGTCTGTGGCAATTCTAGTCAGGGATCTGGAATTTTTATGGTGTAGAGCCTAAGGCATTTGACTGTTAACAGAAGGCTGGTGGTTCAAACCCACCAGCAGTGAGTTGTTTTTTTTTTTTTAAATCTAAATATAGGTAAGATTTCAGGAAGAAGACTTTTGGGGCTAATTGTGATGGCTGATGGAAGTGTTACATATATCTTTTCCCACATCAACTTCTTAACACTGTAGACAACTTTGCTGTGGTGTATGTTCTTCAGAACCTGAAGTAGATGTCCACTTATTTAGGGCTTTCTCCTTGACTTCTACGAGACTTTGAGCACTCTGAGGGCAGTGATCATGTTTAGTTATGCATGTATTTACACTGCTGGGCATAATATCCTCAAAAAATGTTTCATAAGCATGGCTAAATCAGTTAGGAATATTATGTTGTTCTTGTTAGTTGCTGCTGAGTCTATTCTGGCTCATGGTGACCCCGTGGGGGGTTTTTAAGGTTGTGACCTTTTGGAAGCAGATCACCAGGCCTGTCTTCTTAGGTCCCCTCTGTGTGGGTTTGAATCACCAACCTTTCTGCTAGTAGTTGTGTGTTCAACAGTTAATGCACTCAAAGACTACAGAATTATTATAGAATTAGTTTATTTTAAATCAGCTCTTTGGAGTTTAAAAGCAGTACAAAAAAATGAGGTATAAATAAGAGAAACTATTTTTATTATGTATCCCAATTATTGAGAATAACATAGATTTAAGCTTAGTGCTTGCGAGTTCTCGTGGCATAGTGCCTAAGGCATTTGACTCCTAGCCAAAAGGCTGGCAGTTCAATCCCACCAGCCACTCCTCGGAAGGAAGACTGTGCAATCTGCTTCCATAGAGATACTGCCTCAGAAACCCAAGGAGGGGTCACTATGAATTGGGACCGACTAGAAGGCAGTGAGTTTGGTTCTTTTTGGAAGGCAAAATACTATCAAGATACTGGAGGAACTGAACCCTATTGGCATATGAAACTTTAGTCTATGTGAAATTACATTAATGATGCAATTCCTTGAACTAGTCTTAGCCTCAAACTCCAGATTTTCCACATACCCAAAGCACACGTTGACTATTTTTCATTCTTTCTAATTAAAATATTTGTAAAAAATATACACAAATATTTAGTAAGAACAACATCATTCTTCATCTCTTCCCATACCTATGCATACGTCAACTAGAATATCAGACTCTAACTTTGGAAGGTCAGAGGTATTTTGGAGCTCCATTTGAATGCGTGAAGGATATTCTAACTTTTCCCAGGATGGAATGCCTTTTAAGAACAAACACAAAACTGGTAGAGCTAAGATTCTGAATAAAGCAAAGAGTCACTGAGCTGGGGACTTTTCCTCAAGGAACATCTCTGCCATGGACAGAGGAAAAGTGTGATGACCAGTCTTAGCCAATCATGTAGGTCTGAAAGCAGGAAACAATTTCTTCCATTGACTTGTTTGTTCTAGATAAGCTGTAATTTGCACACCAAGATAAGAGGTCCTTCTTGGGTAGGCCAATTTTAAACCACCTTTTCTTGGCATCTCCATGTGCTTTCTACTTTGAAGGAGAAATGGATTCTCCAATAGTTTTCCTTATCCAGTTGAGTTTTTTTTTTTTTTTTTTTTTTTTTTTTGGTAAGGAGAATGTAGATGTGAGGTTTCTGGGGGTTACCACACTTCCCAAAGTAAGTTATCACATATCTGAGGACTTCCAGATTCCCCTTCACAGAGAAAATTACGTATGTTAAATGTGAGTGCTTTCTAAAGATGATATATTTATGCATTCATCCACTCATCCATTCTGTCTTTCCTTATTTAAAGGCCAATGTTCAATCTATTTTAATAATGATCTGTCCTCAGTATCAATTAACACAGATTTATCTTTTCCAATCATTTTCCTTTGAAAAAGGCAGTTCTGGTGAAGATGTGCAAATTCATTTTCCTCAGTAAAACAAAGAAAAAACAGTAAAGGAAGACTTTAATTGGAAACATAATTGTCTCCCTTAGGTTAGTTGTGTGCATTTTTTATTTTTTTGGTTAATAGATATTAGGATAAGAAATTGAATGTTGGGGCTACAAGAAGGCTTGAGATAGGAACTCATCTATACCTTGTTTTGACAGAGGACACTTGCTAAGCCATCTCAGACCAAGGAGTACTCAGTCCAATTACTGATACTTTTTTAAAAAAATTATTAAAGATTGAACGAGTGGCTCTGGTGTCTAATAAAAAAAAATCTGTTATCTCTTCCCCAACCTTAATTTTAGCCAGTGGCCTGTTGGGGCTGATTAAGAATTCTGCCCTTGGTCCTTGTCACTCTGAGTTGTCTAGATTTAAAGTAGAATCCAAGAGAACAGTACAGGGAAGTCATTTCTTCTCTCTCTGTTCTGTCATACTATGTCCTTCCTTAACAGCCCCTTGTCTTTTGGGCATTCTTGCTTCCAATGAATCTCATCTTTTGAGATTCATTCTCAGATCCATCAACTTCATTTCATGTTCTCTCTGACCTTACAAAGCTGCCTGTGGGCTATGAGTTCTAAATAGGTTCAACCCTGGACAAATGTGTTCTTGGCACATAAGAGACAAAACAGTATGGGAGTTGAGAGTCCAAATCCAGGTCCACCCCACTGATAACCAAGTTATTAACATGGGAAGTTAAGTAACTTTCTATGCTTTGGTTCCCCCATCCCTATGTTCTTGGGTAGTGCAAATGGTTAATTTACTGGGCTGCTAACCAAAAGGTTGGAGGTTGAAGTCCATCCAGAGGCACCTGGGAAGAAAGGAGTGGTGATCTGTTTCTGAAAAAATCAGCCACTGACAACCCTAGTTCTATTGTGACCCATATGGGGTTGCCATAAGTCAGAGTTGACTTGTTGGCACCTGGTTGGTTCAAAACAGGTGTGATAATAATAATGCTGATCTCCTGGGCTTAATTCAAGGATTAAGTGGCATAATAAAGAATTTGGTCGTTGCTGGGACCTGACAATGCCAGGGGTCATTACTATTAATGAGAGGGCTAGAAAGCATTCATGAATGGTGGTCAAATGGTATCCTGAAATTATCGTTAGTAAAGAAGAAATGCTCCCTGAGCAGGATTCACACTGGACAAAGGATCATATACCACCACCACA